CAGCAGTAATGGTGTGAGAACCTTACAGCCATGCACTGACTTGTGCAAATATTTTGACTTCTTTGTTTTATTTGCAATAGTAAATGTAACAAATTTCATTTGGGGGGGTGTTGATATCTGAAAGAATTTTGTTCAAGCAGGGGAAGAGGTATGGGGGCAGAAGACAGCACAGAACCGCTCCCCCCCCCCAGCTGGTTTTGACTGAGATTTTGAACCTGTGGACCGTGGAGGGTCAGAGGGAAATTGTTGTCAAACGCTACCAGCAATAACACTGCTGTGATAGTGTGTCCAAGCACTTGGCTGGGCTCTCTGTGGTGGCTGGTGCCGGGTGGGAGAGCACCTGTGTGAAGGCCAGTTTTATCTGACAAGGGCACAGACGCTTGCTGGGACAGGTTGGTGTCAACAGAGGTTACTGGAGCTGCGCTCGCCTTCAGCTGGCTGCACTTGGCCTCTCTGTCATTTCACAAGGCACGGGAGAGGAACGATGTGTAATGTTCAGTGCACTATATTAATACTTAACAATATCATTAGTATGTCCAATTGTCAGAGGCTTCATGTTAGGCTTGGTACCCGTTTCCCTACCCTACAGCCCCCTTCATGCCTCTTTTTAGCAGGTCCAGCATACTATGTAAAGGGAATATGTCTTATTTAGGCTGTTCTTTTGAGTCTGTACAACTTGTACCACAGTTCCTATTGGTCTGCTTTCTCTTCTTATATTTCCTGAACTCTGCTGCGTCCTCTCCTCGCACCCTGCGTGGGGGTGGTCTTGACCAGAACTGTGCAGAGAGCTGCAGGCTGTCAGCTTTCGGCAGTTTTCTCTTGACCTCCACAATCTGGAAGTTTTTTGTCTGAAGACCTGTTCCTGCAGACAATGAAGTGCCTGGGAATTTCCAGACTTTCCTTTTCAATTAATGGAATAAAAGTTGGGGGTTTATATTGTTCTTTTCTGGGTGGAAAGAAGCTTGTTTAAAACAGCCCATTTAGGATTAGGGTTAAATGCTTGGTCCTGACATTCAACACTTTAAAGTGTGCACACAGGCCTCCTGCTTTTTGAGTCCTTGGGTTAAGAATATGAAAAATAGTTCCTTAACCTCTGTTTATCTGGTTGCGTTGGCCTTGAGAGGTATTGCAGGAGGCAGCTGGTCTCTCAGAAGAGTTGCAAACACTTTAGGAGCCTGCTGCCATTTAGCCTTGCTTGTTGCTGTGATCAGGAGAAACAGCAGAAAAAGTAATGAAGCAGTGCCGTGCCACGGGCCGTGTGTGGTTTGCCTGTCACCGGTGTTCTCCCAGCTCAGTGCAGGCAGGGATTGCGGAGGCGTTGCCTGGACGTCCTCATCTCTCCTGTGCAGGCTGTCCTACAGGAAGGCTTTACAACAGAGCAGGGAGTTCATATTGTGCTTAAAACACCCAACCTTCTAAAGGAGGAATTTAAAGATCGTTGAGCTGGGTGGCTGCGAGAGATGGGACAGCTTGCTTGAGGAGCGTCATCTCTGCTCTGGGTGCAGGTTGATTTAGGCTTCCTCCGAGACTGTTGCATTTTTTCAAGCCAGTGAAGGTATCTGGAGCGATGAACACGTGTTCCCTCGGAGTGGAAGCAGCGAAACGGTTTGCTTCCTCCTGATCCCTTCATCCTGCTGTTCCCCGGTGGCAGCGTAAGCTGTTGTGGCACTGCTTTGTTTAACTTTCTCTCCCAATCTTGCTGTGGGACTGAGGTATGTTTTCAGGCATGTCCATGCAGCTGTTCCTGTTCTGCAGGAGGCTGTAGGGCTTCTGGGCCAGCGGCTGAAATGCTTTTCTTGTCTCTAGTGAAGGGAGGTGGATTTAGATCAGATGAGGATCTGGCCAGACACCTGAGTAAACTTTCCTTTGGTTTTGTAGCGAAACTCATTCCCACTGGCTGTAAGTTAGCCAGAGGGGTCCCCTCTAAAATAGAAAGGAAAGGAGGGATCCTGATCCTCTCTACAGATGTGTACAGATTTATTTTTATTATTATTATTATTTTTTGGCAAGCTCTCTTGATTTACAGCCATGCAATAGATCAGAATTTGGCCTCTAGCACTGGAATTGGTCCTGACACCATGGGCAGGCTCTGCCTGGTAGGCTCTCCCGAATTAAGGTGGAAGCAGGGAAGCCATCATCTCTGATCCCCGGGCAGGAAACAGGCGTCCTATGTATCGATGCGTGTGCTCAGGCACCAAAGGCAACCCTGTTCACATGCCGTCTGCGGATCCTGTTGTGAGGCATCTCTCGCTGCAGAAAATTCCTGGCTCCCGGAGTGAGCCTTTCATGAGAGGCAAACAGCTTTGAATAACGAGGAATCGCACTGGTGAGCGGCTTTCCCCAGTACCAAACAGCTCCGGCCGCTTATCCTGTGGAGGGACTTCAGACCGCAGCAGGCTGAGGAGCTTCAGCCCAACTGTTGCCCCTGCAACTCCCCTTAGCCCACCGAGGAGCATAACACTGGGCTTTAATGTACCCGAGCGCTGGCCGGCATCTCCAGCCCCGGGTATCCGAAACATGGGGCCTGCCGATCCATCCACCCCATGATACGCTCGCTCGCACGCACTCACGTGCTGCGGTAATGGTTTAATAGCAGCCCCACCCAGCGCAGTCAGGAGAAGGACTTGCTGCGTAAGCAAAAGCTGGGAAATCTCGCCGCTGTGCACAGCGCTCTGCGAGCACTCCAGTCGCGTTTTGGGAGAGCTTTTTTTTGTTTACCTGGAATCACCAGTGCCAAAAGAAACTAGAAAGGACAGCAGTTTTCTCCTTTGATCTTCTCTCCTCCTGCATTTGGAGATGGCTGCGCTCCTGGGTGCAGGGCTCGTCAGGGCACCGGGGCGTATCGTGCCATGGTACCGCTAACGCTTTCTCTCTTGGCAGGACTCGGAGTCGCTGGACGGTTGCATTCAGAGTACGTTATCAGCACTCTACCCTCCGTTTGAGGCTACCCCAGCCCCCGTTTTTTGCCCA